CTAAAAGGTTTGCCATCACTACCATATATGATACATTTTTTCATGGTCCTAAAGTAATAGGTGGCTTTATATCTTGAGTTTTCTTCTACTCATTATGCCCCATGAAAGTTTTCATTACTTTAAATTTTCTAGGAAACTCTTTCTAGAGCAAGATCTTGGTTTTTTGTTTGTTTGTTTGTTTGGTTTTTTTTTTTTGGTACCAGGGATCAAACTCGGGACCTTGTGTTTGTGAGGCAGGTGGTAGAACCACTGAGCTAAAGCCCTGGTGAGCAAGATCATATTAATCACAACTATTTATTGAATACAACCTGTCTGCAGTGTACTAAGATGGTGGCCTTCAGTATATTTAGAAGTGACTATGTTTGTGAATCATGGTGGGTCACAGTTCCTTGGGAGGCTGAAGTAGGAAGATCAGAAGTTCAAGGATATCCTGGGTGACTTAGCCAGACCCTGTCTCACAATGAAAATTTAAAGGGTTGGGGTTGTAGCTCAGTGGTCTCTGAGTTCTCTGAGTTCCATCCCTAGTACTGAAAAAAAAGTGAAAAATGTTTAAAAAATTAGAGTAGCTTGAAGAGATAAATTATTTATACACAAAGAAGACATACTGTCAGGCAACCTCCTTGTAATGAGTCAGGAAGCAAAGTACAGAGGAGTTGACAGGGAGAGACCAAGGGCAGTTTAGGAGAAAGAGGGCTCTTGACTGTGGTAGATAACACTAGATGCTTAGATGCTATGGTTTGAATGTGCCCCCCAAAGTTCATGTATTGGAAATTTAATCCTCAATGTAACAGTCTTGGGAGGTTGTATGAGTCACTTGTCATTTCTGGGACAAAATACCCAACATCCACAACTTAAAAGAGGAACTTGCTTTGGCTCACAGTTTCAGGGGGTTCAGTCTACAGTTGGTGGATTCCAAGGCAGAAAGGGCATGATGGAGGAACTATGGCAGCCAGGAAGCAGACAGAGAGAATGGAGTAGCTGGGAGAATACAGCCTTCAGGTCACACCCCCAGTGACCTGCCTCCTCCAGCAGGCCCCAGCTCCTAGGAGTACACTCAGCTAGGAAATCCACAGTGGGTTAATCCACTGGTGAGGACAGCACCCCCATGACCCAACCACCTTCTAAAAGCCCCACCTCTGAACACATCAGACTTTGGGGGACATTTTAGATACAAACCATAACAGAGGTGAAGCCATATAAAAGGCAATTAGGTCATAAGGATCCTGCCTTTATTAATGGATTATTGTTCTCATGGGTAAGTGGATTATCATGAAGCATGGCTTTGCTGTCAAAGTGGGTTAGCCCTCTCTTGCTTCCTTACTCTTATCTTTTGCCTTTCACCTTTCTCCTGGGGATGGTACAGCCTGCACCATGCTCCTGGTCTTCTCAGCCTCCAGAACCATGAGTCAAATCTCTTCTTTATGAATGATGCAGGCTCAAGAATACTGTTACAGCAACACAACACATGCTAAGACACTAGATAAACTCTACTTGAATAGTTTCATTCAATTCTCCAGTCAACCTTGTGAGGTGGGTATTATTTCTATCATTCCCATTTTACAGTTGCACACGCTGTTGTAGGAAGGTTAAATAACATTCAAAAAGTCCTAAAACTAGTTGGTGATGGATTCATTCAACTGGTGAAAGTCTATCTCCACAGCTGGGCTTAACACAGTCTTCTAGGAGAAACCCAAAGGCCCAGGGAGACGCACAAAGAGTAGGGGGAACCTGCAGTCAAGCGTTAGTGGAGACATGTCTGAATTTATACCCTGGAAGTGGGAGCAGAGGATAGTAGGCAAGAAGGAGAACACACAGAGTGAGCATCTGTTTTCATAAGCATCCCAGGGGATCAACCTGGGCGGGCGGCACAGAGGGCCAGGCTGGTCTGGAGCTCTCCCACCACTCAACACTGCTTGTCATAGTTAATTCCCTTCGCAGGGACAAAATACCCGACTCTCAAAATTTAAGGGAGGAGAGGTTTTTCTTGGTTCACATTTCAGCCCATAGGTGGCTGGCTCCAAGGAAGGAGGCACGCAGACGGGCAGAAGGGTGGAGAGAGGAGAGAGATAAACCCTTCCGGGTCACCCCCCCAGGGACCCGCCTCTTCCCACCCGACCACCGCATCGGGTAATCTAGTCACTCGCCCAAAGCCCGCCCGTGAGCACGTGAGGGGACATCCAGCGCCCCTGTCCTGTGGCGCCGACCAGCCGTCCCCTGCAGGCATCCTCGTCCTGGCTCTCACAGGTGCAGGGCCCCAGGTCCTAGGCCTGAGCACACGCAGTCCCCCGGGCCCGGCCGCGGGGCTTCCCAGGGACAGCTGAGGAGTCTGGTGACCCTCGGGCGCCCCGGCTGGTCCTCAGGTCTGAGGGACCAGGCTGCGCCCTCGGCCTGTGCTCTCTGCCTTGGGGACAGCACCCCTGAGCCGAGGTGACCGTCCCTTCGACCCCAAGAAAGCTGCAGGCTGTGGCCCTCAAGACCCCTGCGCCCGGGCCCCCGCGTTTGCAGACCCAGAAACTGCACCAACAGCACGCAGCGCCCGCAGCCTGGTGAGGGTGGACAGGGCCCTTCCGCAAGCTTCTCCCATGAGAGCCTCCCGCGCAGGACCCGGAAAGTGGAGGCGGGACTGTGGCTCCCCGGAGAAAACGTGTGGACTTAGCAGCGGCGCCTTCCCTTGGGGTTCCTCAAGGATTCACTAGAAAGCCAGCACGTGGCGCTGGCCTGTAATCCCAGCGCACGGGAGGCTGAGGCAGGAGGAGCTGGAGTTCAGGCCAGCCTGGGCTACACAGCAAGTTCAAGGACAGCCTGGACCTCGTAGTTACTCCCCACCTCGGAAAACTAAAAAGAAAGAAAGAAAGAAAAGAAAGCTTCACTAGGCAGCAGCAGAGTCACTATGTTAGCTTGAGGGGAGGGTATTAGGACCCCAGATCTTTACAGCCAACATTCTGAATATTTTTCCCCCCGTACCAGGGATCGAATTCAGGACCTTGCGCTTTCAAGGCAGGCACAGTACCACGGAGCTAAATCCCCGGCTGGCCAACATTGTGATTTGACCAAAAAGCTAAGTGATGTGTGTGTGGTGGGCTGGGGGTTGCGAGGCGTGATCTAGAATGGAGTGATTTAATTCCGGGCATCCCTCTGGCCGGCTCTGGGTGGGGAGCAAGTCCAAGGCGCTGAAGCTCTTCCACCATGTTTCACGTGTAAAAGGGAATAAGTTTCTTCCCTCCGGGTTGTTATGAGGAGAAATTGAGATAATGCATGTGATAATGTAAACTATTAAATGCCGTACACATGTAAGCCATTATCTCTTTAGAGATTTATGGCCCAAAGGAGAAAAAGAAACATGCTAATCCTGACTTCCAACAAGACTGCGGTGAAAACTGCGTTTCCCAAAGCCGTGGCGGCAGTGCCCTGAGAGAGACTGGCCAAGTCTTTCCAGGTTTTCTGAACCAGGACGCTTTCAGTGTAGCGTCAGTTAAAAAGAGCTTGCCGGGCCGGGGACTTAGCTCGGTTGTTCCACCGCCTGTCTCGACAAGCACAAGGTCCCGAGTTTGATCCCCAGTACCAAAAAAAAAAAAAGAAAGAAAGAGCTTGCCCTCTGTAACATCTGAGAGGAGGGAATGTTAGAAAATCCAAGATTAGGTATCAAAATAATGAGAAAGGAGACGACTGGAAAACATCTAGCTACACCAAGTAAAGTGGGTCTTTGGTGTTTTCTGCAGAATTCCTCAGGTCTTTGGAGGTCAGCACTTCAGGACCGATCTGCTAAGAAATGCCCTTGATCATCAGGCCCACCCTTTATTTACATCTTCATAGGCAAGCTGGGCCAATCCCTTTTATTTTGTTTTGAGACAGGGTCTCAATGTGTATGTAGTTCAGGCTGGCCTTGAATTCACTATGTAGCCCAGGCTGGTCTCAAATTCTCAGTGATCCTCCTTCCTCACCCTCCCAAATGCTGGGATCATAGGCATGCACCACTACACCCTGGCTATATTGGACTAATCTCATACTCAGGATATCTGTGCTTTTGTATTTAAGGCTCATCACTGTGATTTCAATTTCCTCATCAGAAGCCAAATGCTTACACAGAATCAGACCTTATGCACTCAGAGTAAAAGTCATAGACAAAAAGACTCTTACAAGGAAGAGACGAATAAAAGGACAAGACATGCTTTTCAATGAACAAAAAGAAACTAATAGTATAAATGAAACCAATTAACATATATCTTATAATATTTTGAAACAACATAATAGATAATTTGGGGGATTATTTGAACTTCTCCCTACTTCCTATTTACCTATAATCTCTCTCTCTCTCTCTCTCTAGATATATAGATATACCTAGATATACCTATATATCTATATATATATTTCTCTATTTTGTGATGGAATTTTATTTTTTCAGAGTTTTAACATTTTTTATTATCTACTATGTTACATTACAATAAATTTGAAAAGGCTTATGCACTCATTAATCAAAATTTATTGAGTGCCTTTCTGCCAGGCACAGGGCTACAGGCACACAAGCACAGAAAACCAGTAACCCCCAACCCTCGAGGGGTTCCCCTTCCCTTGGAGACAGTGGTTGCCTGCAGTCGGGTCAGTCTCAGACAGGTAACCCAGACAGGTGCGAGGCCAGGCTTGGAGCAGAGAAGCAGCCTGGGTTGAAGAGAGGGGCCTTGACCGTGTGACAGCTCAGCCATGCAGGGCCAGGTGACTGTGCCTCTCAAGTTTTCAAGAGAAGCCAGAAATCTGAATTTTTATGTGAAATGGTCTAGTTTTTAAACGCTGTCAGCTAATTCAGACTTTTAGGACAACACTCATGGAACCATCAAAACTCTTGCTATGGGCCAAGCTAGAGTGGTTGCCTAGTGCCCACGAGGCTCTGGGTTCCATCTCCAGTGATGCAGAAGAGCAAACAAAGAACCTTAATCTCTGACTGCCAGAGATGTAACTTCTGGGCTACAACTACCTATAACACTGAAAACTATTCAAAAGTATAACAAAAATCCAAGAAGATTGAGAAACACTGCTGTGTAACAGCTATCGCTAAAAGAAACATAAATGTCATGGACGTAAGACTTAGTCATTGTAACTATCCAAAATATGTATATGGGATTAATATATGCAGGCACCGCTGGGAATGGATATCTCCTCAATTATAACTTCTGTGACTCAGCCATCAGTAGCTCAGTTTATCCATAAAAAACAAAACAAAACTTTGGTTCCACCTAAGTAACAAAAACTCTAAATTCTCCAAAGCAAATGAATAGAAATGGTGTGAAGAACCTAGCATTTTGATAATCTGCATGTTTGCTGAATCTGCAATGCTTTTCCTGACCTCATCTATTCGGGTACTCAGAATACTTGAGTTTGGGAGAGGAATGTGGTATATACATATACACGACTTATATAATTGTCAGTTCCCTTTTTACAGTGTTACCCCATACAGTTTGCATTTGTTTTGCCAAACATGGCACCCAGTTATAGTTTGTTTATGTTTTCTCAGGGATTGAAAGTAAAGGGAGTCCTGAAGAAAGAAATACTGTCCAGTCAGCTTGGCCATCACTGGGGTAAGATTACTTCAAGAGAAAAAAAAAATAGGCAATGAATTTACTTGATCAAGACTGAGAATTAAATTATTTTCATTTTCAAATTGTTGCAAGAGGATTTTTGAAAAAAGAAAGGAAAATGTGCCGGGCATAGTGGTGCATAGCTACATAGCCAGCTATACTATATAGCAAGACTCTGTCTCAAAAGAACCAAAAAAAAAGGAAAAAGAAATGGAAAATGAATAGTAAGGAGGATGAAAGAAAAGTAGTACAGCCCCTATTATATGCAGTCCACATGGAAATAAGTATCCTGGTTTCACAGTCAAAGAGTATAAAACAATCATGAGCGATAAGCAGGCCCAGCCTGCTTCTTGCAGATGGCGGATGTCGCAGCCTGCACTGTAGCTTCTCTCTCCTCCGGTCTTCCCAGGGCTCCCTCTCTTCCAGGTCATCAGTAGCTCTCAGTCCTGCTAGATGCCCACCTGCGGATATTTTCAAGCACACCCATGCTGGGCCCCACCGCCAGAGATTTGGGTGACAGTGGGTCGAGATGCAGGTGACTGTCACGTGTGCTCCTGCCCCCTTCTCCGGCCGCCAGCTCCTTCTCCTCCTGTGTCTCCTCGAGCAAGTAAACGCAGCCCAGCCTGCTTCCTAGAGGAGCCTTCGAACCTGAGTCTCCTGTCCTCTCCTGTGCTTCAACGTCAGGTCTTTTCTTGGGTCAAACTCTCAATGGCTAATGTCCAGTATTTCTCTGAACATCTAACATTGCTTACCAGACCCTCCTTTTCTGACATTATCCTCTCTCAGGTGCTGTTTCCCCAATTTCTCAGACTTTCCTTTCTCCATCTCTTTCTTAGTCTCCCCTTCCTTTCCATACTTTATTAAATTTACCTCTTTGCAAATAACCTAGTTGTCCTTCAGGCAGTGAATGGACAAACCAGTGTATCTACCCCAGCCATAAAAAGGAATGGAGTACAAATACAGACAGCAACATGGAAACCTAAAAACATTATGAAATGTTTTATGAATGTATAAATGAAATTTGAATGTGTACTTGAGAATGTAAAATTGAAAAAAAGCCAGACACACAAGGCCACATACTATATCATTCCATTTATATCAAATGTCTAGATTAGGCAAATAGGTATAGACAGAAACAGATTAGTGGTTGCTAGGGCTGGGGTAGGCATGGGGAGCTTAATTGTGATAGAGTTTAATTGTGATGGACTTTACTGTTGGAACAATGAAGATATTCATGAATTAGACAGTGGAGATAATTGTAAAACACTGGGCATATATATATATATATATATATATATATATATAT